ATTTTCAAGTACAAAGATTGAACTTTTTAACTTGTAATTGTCTTATATACACTCATGTACGGTCTTAAATAGTAAACATGTTTACTTTTACATTTTTCAGAGGAGGAAAGTGAAGATTGTAAATCGGAACACGGTAAAAATATATATAAAATAAAGATTTTTATATGGCAATTTTCAATTGCACGCATAAATCACATCAATACGTATAATGATCTATAGAATCCAAAATACCTATTGATCAAAAGCAATCAAATATAATGAGTCTTTTTTCTGAAGCTTGGTTTATTAAAATACGAATGCTATCTGTGCAATCTTTTTTTTTAAATTTTGTCTTTATGACAAAAATAACATGTACATGCCAAAATTTTCGTGGCACATACATGAATAGCTTATTTCCAATGTCCTTTTGAAGTGTTTGAATCAGCTTAATATAAATTGAATCAAATCTAACACGTAGGCTCACATTGAATCAAATCTTAAATGTAGACTTAAAATTGAATCAAATCTTACACTTAGACTTAAATTGAATCAAATCTTACACGTAGGATCAAATTTAATCAAATCTTACACATAGACTTAAATTGAATCAAATCTTCACGTAGATTTGCTTCCTTTGCAGACGAAAAACGATTAACTTAATAATTTAAATAAATGTAGATTTGTTACTGTACTGGCGTAGACCAATGGAATCAAACCCGTGTATCATTATTATTACCATAGTGTATGTTATTTTTGACACGCAGTAATCCACGCCCGGCAAACTGTCGCTCCACTTGAAAATTGTGGTGTACGGTAAAACGATCGAACGGCATTTCCGAGATAGAGCGGAAGGCCGATTTAAACGGATAATTGCAAGTGTTGTTTATGTTTTTGTCTTGTTATTCATTTAAGTTGTATTTTTTCTAAAAACGGAAAATGTAGTTCCGTGTAGGATTGTTTTAGGCTTTCAATGATCTAAACTGTCACAGAACCAAAATTATATTAAGCCCGGGTGAACTTTTCTCCCTGATGAAGCGAACGACGATTTGTAGAATATTGAACTTCCCAACCATTCAAATGCCATATCCATCGGATTAAAAAAATTATTAGGAAAATATCAACCCGTAATAAGAACTTGTCCTTCGTGCAACATAAAGTACTCCTGAAGGATTTCTTAAATTTGTTAATCGATATTTTTCGAAAGTATTGGAGCAAAAGGGCAAGAGATGGAGCGAACGGTTCGATGTTGAGCGCAAGGTGATATTAATTTAGCATATAAGGAGGAGCGTAGTCTATCAATTTTATATATAAATGCTATAGAAGTTAAAATATACATGATCAAGTGTTGAGACAACGTCCTTTCAACGACTATAGCGTAATAAATGTTATCGCAAAGGAGTCACATATGGCTGCCGTATAGATATTATAATCTATGTTCCAAATTTGGATGACGCCCGATCATTGAATCATATGGTGTAAAACAGGGTGCCACTTATTCGAGGTCAATCATGATTTTGACACAGTTAAGCTGCGGTCTCACTCCCGGCAGAGCCCAGGACCATCCCGGTAAGTTATCGGGATGATCCGGGACGATCCGGGGTTAAATTATTGTTGCGGTCACACTTACCCCGGCAGCACCACGATAGTTCCCAACTATCCACCCACGATGCGCTCCGGATCACCCAGACAGAGCCCAGGTGAAGCTACCGTTCATACCGGTGCTTCCCCGGTCGTTCCCGGATGACACCGGAAGAGCCCCGATTGACCCAGGCAGAGCCCCGGTCGATCCAGGCAGAGCCCCGTCAGAGCCCAGGACGATCCAGGCAGAGCCCCGGTAGAACCCCGGTGGATCGAAAACTCCCGAAAATGATAACATTGATACATAATTTTTATTTAATATAATATCTATTCTTCCAGAATAGTAATTCATGATGATTTTCTGAAAAATCATTATGCAAGACTGGATAGAAGGGAAATGGGAAGGGTTTTAATACAAACAAGTGCAATCATCGCAAATTGTCGTTATTATTTTGAAATGAACCGGGCTTTGCCATAAAATGGATCACTACTACCGAGTTCATTTTACTACAACTTTCTCTAATTAATAGCTCTAACGTACATGTTCAGATCAAACACAAATAAGCCACGTTTTCATGAAATAGAAAGACTTTTGTAAGGTGGGGAATCTCTATGAAAATGGTTGACAAAGTGTCAGTCGTTTAAGGATATGAAATATGATAAACAAGATCAACAAGGAAAGGCGGCGTTTAATGAACGCAACCCCACGCGACCAAGCAAAAAGACTTTCTTTAGGGATTCTGTATTTATCTATTTTTTAACCGGTGGCAAGGAGCCCAGGAGGACCCCCCCAAAAAAACAGGACAGAGCGCAATGCGGAGCAGGACAGGTCAATCACTTATTAGAAAATGAAACATAAAAAGAAATAACCAAAACCGACAAGGAAAACAAAGAAGAAAGATAAATGACTGCTTAACAGGCTCACAAAGTAAAGGGGCATAGGGGAAGGGGATACGAGACCTGGGAAGGGGGGGGGGGTATATAAGTGTTTCAGTTATGTTTCAAGATACTTTCTTTCTTATTTAGAATTGTTGTTCAGTTTACAATTTTCCTCTCAAAATATAAATGGAAATGTTCACTTTTATAATCAAACACTGCATATTTTCAGTACAATATTGGTAAATGAAAGAAAAAAATGAGTGTAAAATTATGTTCGTTTATTCAGAGTATCTATAAACAAAACGAACGTAATAAAAAAGGCAGTGCTTAATCGGTGTACGGTCTAAAAGTATTTATAATTGAAATACCTAGTTATAGTAGAAATAAATTGATATCTTATCATATTTTTCCGGCTCAACATTTTAGTACGTCTTTTTTAACTTTAAAAGATTTTATTTATAGAAATTTGTAGACCAACTTAATGTCGCCTTGCGCCCAACAACCGACTTTTCGCTCCATCTCTTGCCCTTTGGCTCCACTACTTTTGAAAAAAAAAAAACGATATACAAATTTAAGAAATCCACCATGGGTAGTTTATTTTGCACGAAAGACAAGTTCTTATTACGGGTTGATATTTTCCTAATACATTTTTTAAAGAAATCCGAAGGATATGGCATTTGAATGTTTGGGAAGTTCAATATTCTACAAATCGTCGTTCACTTCGTCCGGGAGAAAAGTTCTCCCGGGCTTAATATAATTTTGTTTTTGTAACAGCTTAGATCATTGAAAGCCTAAAACAATCCTACACGGAACTACATTTTCCGTTTTTAGAAAAAATACAACTTAAATGAATAACAAGACAAAAACATAAACAACACTTGCAATTATCCGTTTAAATCGGCCTTCCGCTCTATCTCGGAAATGCCGTTCGCTCGTTTTACCGTACACCACAATTTTGAAGTGGAGCGACAGTTTGCCAGGCGTGTAATCCCTTCCTGGTTACATCTCTTCAACGCATACACAAAAATTGTAAATGAATTTTTATGTTAAAGCAAAAACGCACTAACTCTTAAGTATGTCTTATTTAAGTTTTAAATATTCTTCAAATCATGAAAAGTTAAATGTGTTTTGTTTTGTTGTTTAATGATATTAATGTTTCTTTGTATTTTCCTTGAAATTATATTATATTCCTTACAAGTTTTCTTAATCTATACCTTGAGAGTTATTGATTCAAAGTAGTGCTATTCATTTTTAAAAGTGTATATCATCCTAAGCACGATTTTTGTAATAATTGTGTAATGGCAATACATTAGCAAAAGGAATGATCTTTTTTTGATAACAGGTACTTGCACAAAGTATGTATACGAAAATGTACGACTTGTACCAAAGCGAAGCTCCGAATGTGAAAAGTTTTGTCAATGTGCGCATGTATAATAAATCTGAAAAGGTCCTAACAAGTTGCCAATTATACAAATTGAGTTGTTACAATTCTTTAACTAATAGCACAATATATTTATTTTCAGAGACATGTACTCAGTTTATTTATGACAATGTCCGCTTAGTTGTGCAGAGTAGCTCCGGCTGTAAGAAATTCTGTCAATGTGCGCATGCGTCGACACAGTTAGACGGATCTGTGACGTATCATTGGGTGGAGCATACATGCCCTGTCGGAACTTTATTTGACAGTAAACTTCTTGTCTGCAACCATGCAGATATCGTGCAATGTACAGGTAATTACATATTTGTACTTCAGTGTTACATCAAAAGAATGTACAACGAAATTCTAAAGACTTCCAGTCATGCTTTTAAGAAAAACATTATCAAATTTAAAGGTAGCTCATTTCGTTTAGGTACCTTGTCCGATACAAAGAAAACGTAACTCAAATTTGATATCAGAACATCTTAATAATTGCTACAGTGTCTTTGTAAATAAAAAATAAACATATTTGCCTTCACACAAAGTAGATATGTTATGTTTAAAACTCTTCAGACTATATAAGTTCTCAACAATATAAATACATAGTGTCTTTAAAAAAAGGTCAGGTTTTCTAAGAAAGGACCTACTTTACTTGACCTGTATTTGGGAACCCAGCTTTCTTCACATAATTCATTGATTCTTTTATTCAAATTAGACATATTCAGTGTTCAACGTTTTTGTGAATTTTGTCTTTTGTTACACGCCTGTGCTTTATACTCGTCATTTTATAATATTCATGAATTGTGTGAACGTATGAGGGAATGACTGGTGTCAGGTTTAAATGCGTCTGGTGCCTTAAGGCTCTTTGTACATCTGTCAAAGAAAACAATGACTTTGGTGTAATAGAATTTGAAAATTCTTCTTTACATTCGTACTTAATAAGAATTTTACTACAATTTCGTTTACCTACATCTAGGATCGACCGCTTGTGTTGTAACAACTTAGTTCAACTTAGTATATATTTTTGGTACTATAGATGTAGATGTTGTGCCTTGTGTAAATACGTTATGATCTCCCGTGTGATGCAAAGATAAGTATATATCTATCAAATACACATTTAACAAATAAAATAATTTTGCAATAATAGGATCGGGACATGATAATTCAGGCTTGAACGGTTCACCTACGTCACAGCCGTCTGGAGGACAGGTTCCAATTGTTTCAGGTAATATAATTTCTTTATAATGAAAATCTTTTTTTTTACCCGATGACATAATTTATAATATCATTCACTAGCTCAAGTTGAGTCGAACTATTTAACCCGTTCTGTTTAACATCATACTAGAAATGAATCTGTTCTGTTCTGATAATTATTTCCACAGTAAAACATGCATCCTGTGTCTTGACAAAGATTGTTCGTATTTCAGCGAGGAAGAAATAGCTATAAAGATTTTTAAATTTCATTAAACCAAATGCGTAAAAACGTTAATAGTAATTTTGTTTTTGATATCATAGAATTCTTTAAATACGAGTTTGTTTGTTTTTTTCATTGCTCATGATGCGTCAATGTCGTTTATTGATTTATTTTATTAATTGCATGCATTTTTAAATGTTAGTTCTTCAAAATATGTGCTGATATTTATTCAATATCATAAGTGTTTATACCTACAACAAGTGTTTTGAAATGTTTTGTAAATATATTAGTAAATATGTAGTAAACATCACTTTCCGTTTTTATATTTTCAGGCGACAATGAATGTTTTGAAGAATATGGTAATGTTATTTGTATTTGTACGTCAGAATCTTTAAAACGAATATTTAAATTTATTAAGTTCTTAAACTGATACACTAATATTTTTGTTATAATATTGCGTATGGACTTTAACAGAGTGTATCATTTAAAGAAAAGGCTTACAAATTTATGCTAATTTTATGATCATATTGAAGAAGAATTTAAAGGTAATTGTGAAGTGAAGAAAGAAAATAATTAACACATTGCATCCACGTATATTACCGAAAAGAGGTTGAACTATGCAGGAATAGCACGCACTTAATGCGTTAGTTACGCAGATGAAATGTGCTGATATATACGGCAAAATCAGTCATTAATCGCAAATAACATGTCAATTATAACTTAAAAAAGTTGAATCTTTTTTACTTCTCTTACTACAATTTTAAATATTCAAGTTTGAGTTTGTTTAAAAGTTTCTGCCCATCTTGAGGCATGCAGCTTAAAGTCATTTTGATAAATATACATAATCTGTACAGGCAAATAAAGTCTGTTTTGAAATGTATTTTATTTTAACCAATAGTTTTATCTCTAGATGTCTTTTCATAAATACACGAAAAACAAAAGATTCTTTGAGAACCCACAAAAGCTTGATTGAATTGTTATTATCGAAATGGCCAAAAAACATATCTTAATTATTGATGCAGGTTCTTGTACCAAGCACCAATATGAAAATGTAAGACTGGTTGCTCTCAAAAGTTCCGGATGTAAGAGCTTCTGTCATTGTGCGTACGCATCAACAGAGATTGACGGCTCCGTGACGTACAAATGGGTGAAGAAGACATGTCCAGCTAATACTTTGTTTGATGAAATTATTTCAGTCTGTAACCATGACTACGATGTTCAATGTCAGAGTAAGATATTGATCTTTCAATAAAAATATGTACATTATTTGTTAATCTATATAAATCAATAATTAAATCATTCTGAGGTAATCATTTCTTTATCATTGTTTGCAAGTTTGAAAATCTGTCATTCTTGTAAGATTTGGTTTTTTTTGCAATCATCAAACTTTATACGATCATCTTTAACCTCAATTGTCCTGAACTTCAATTGACCTCTTTGTATATTTTTCTAAATAAATATACATTTTCTAGACTGTTGTAGGCATTCAGTAATCTTTGATATATACTCGTATTTATTTATTACCGGTCGCAAATAAACTATTAACCATATGATCAGTTTCAAGTACAAAGATTGAACTTTTAAACTTCAGCTTTTATAATGTATAAAGATATATAGCCTTTAACTTGCCATTGTCTTATATACACTCATGTACGGTCTTAAATAGTAAACATGTTTACTTTTATATTTTTCAGAGGAGGAAAGTGAAGATTGTAAATCGGAACACGGTAAAAATATAAATAAAATAAAGAATTTTATATGGCAATTTTCATTTGCATCGCATAAGTCACATCAATACTATAATAATATAATGATCTATAGAATTCAAAATACCTATTGATCAAAAGCAATCAATATAAAGAGTCATTTTTCTGAAGCTTGGTTTATTAAAATACGAATGTGATCTGTTTAACTTTTTTTTTAATTTTGTCTTTATGCTAAAAAATAACATGTACATGCCAAATGTCATGTTTCCGTGGCACATACATGAATAGCTTATTTCCAATGTCCTTTTCAAGTGTTTGAATCAGCTTAATATAAATTGAATCAAATCTTAAACGTAGACTTAAATTGAATCAAATCTTACACATAGACGTAAATTGAATAAAATCTTCACGTATATTTGCTTCCTGTGCAGACGAAAACGATTAACTTAATAATTTACATTAATGTAGATTTCTTACTGGCATAGACCAATGGAATCAAAACCGTGTATCATTATTATTACCATAGTGTATGTTATTTTTGACATGCAGTAATCCCTTTTTGTTACATCACTTCAACGCATACACATCACTATATATGATCTTTTATGTTAAGGCAAAAGGCACTAACTCTTAAGTAGTGCTTATTTAAGTTTTTAATAGTCTTCAAATCATGAAAAGTTAAATGTGTTCTGTTTTGTGCTTTAATGATATTAATGTTTCTGTGTATTTTCCTTGAAATTATATCATATTCGTTACAAGTTTTCTTAATCTATACCTTGAGAAATGTAGATTCAAGGTAGTGTTATTCATTTTTGAAAGTACATATCATTCTTAGCACAATTTTTGTAATTATCGTGTTATGGCAATACATTAGAAAAAAGAATGATTCATTTTTTTTGATAACAGGTACTTGCACAAAGTATGTATACGAAAACGTACGACTTGTACCAAAGCGAAGCTCCGAATGTGAAAAGTTTTGTCAATGTGCGCATGTATAATAAATCTGAAAAAGGTCTTAAATAATCCTAACAAGATGCCAATAACACTAATAGAGTTGATCGTTCTCATATATTACAATTATTTAACTAAAAGCACACTATATTTGCTTTCAGGCGCATGCTTTCAGTTTGTTTATGAAAATGTCCGCTTAGTTGCAAAAACAAATTCCGGCTGTAAGAAATTCTGCCAATGTGCGCATGCGTCGACACAGTTAGATGGATCTGTGACGTATCATTGGGTGGAGCATACATGTCCTGCAGGAACTTTATTCGACAAAAAAATTCGAGTCTGCAACCATGCAGATAACGTGCAATGTACAGGTGATTACATATTGATACTTCAATGTTACGTCCAAAGAATGTAGAACGAAATTCTACAGACTTCTAGTAAAACATTATCAAATTTAAAGGTAACGCATGTCGTCTAGGTATCTCATCCGCTTTTATACAAAGAAAACACTGTTAATTGCTACAGAGTGTCTTTGTAAATACATAATAAACACATTTGACTTCACACAAAGTAGATATGTTATGTTTAAATCTCTACACACTTTTACATAATGGAATTATAGAAACGGTTGATTATGTTCATGAATTGTGTAAACGAATGAGGGAATGACTGGGGTCAGCTTTAAATGTGTCTGTTGCCTAAAGCTTTTTTGAACATCTGTCAAAGAAACCAATGACTTTGGTGTAATAGAATTTGAAAATTCGTCTTTACTTTCCTTCTAAATGAGAATTTTACTGAAATTTCGTTTACCTATATCTTGGTTCGACTGCTTGTGTTGTAACAGCTTAGTTCAACTTAATATATATGTTTGATACTATAGATGTTGAAGTTGTGCCTTGTGTAAATACGTTTTGCTCTCCCATGTGAAGTAAAGAAAAGTATCTGTCTATATATCTATGTACATGTATATATACATATCATATACCTTATACACATGTAACCAATAATAGGATCGGACCATGATCATTCAGGCTTGAACGGTTCACCTACGTCACAGCCGTCCGGAGGACAGGTTCCGATTGTTTCAGGTAATATATTTACGTTTTTACATAAAAAAAATTAACCCGATGACATAATTTATAATATTATTCACTAGCTCATTTTTTGTAGAACCATTAAACCATATTCTGTTTAATTAACATCATACAAGAAATGAATCTGTTCTGTTCTGATAATTATTTCCACAGTAAAACATGCATCCTGTGCCTTGACAAAGAAAATAGTGGATGTTACAGCGAGGAAGAAATAGCTATAAAGATTTTAAATTTCATTAAACCAAATACGTAAAAACGTTAATAGTAATTTTGTTTTTGAGATCATGGTATAATACGCGGTCTTTTTTTGTCAAGTACAAGTTAAAAAAAAATACAAGAAGTCGTTATATTCCGAGCTCAATGCGTCAATGTCGTTTATTTATTTATTATATTTATCAAATGGTTTTTAAATGATCGTTCTCCAAAATTTGTGCTTATATTAATTCAGTATTACAAGTGTTAATACGTTTGACAAATGTTTTGAATTGTTGTTTTTTATCACATGAACACATTTTTTTGTTTGTTTTTTTTTTTTCAGGTTATAAGTTTGTATCATTTTTATTCAAAATACAGCATGCCACGTTTGTTTGTTTGTTTTTTGTTGTTTTTTTTGTTGTTTATGGGGTTTTATTTACTTATATATTTATCTTTTTATCATTTGATTTATTTAAAAAAATATTTTTTTTTTTGTGTTTTGGGGATATAATTATTATTATTATTATTATTTGTGAACGCGTGAGGGAATTACTGGACTCAGGTTTAAATGCGTCTGGTGCATCAAGGCTTTTTGTACATCTGTCGAATAAAACAATAACTTTGATGTAATAGAATTTGAAAATTCTTCTTTACATTCTACCTAAATAAGAATATTACTTCAATTTCGTTTACCTATATCTAGGATCTACCGCTTGTGTCAACTTAATATATATTTTGGATACTGTAGATGTAGATGTTTTTCCTTGTGTAAATACGTTATGCTCTCCCGTGTGAAGTAAATAAAACTATCTATCTATATATATCTATGCAAACGTATATATACATATCATATATCTAATACACATATAACCAGTATTTTTTTTTTTGCAATAATAGGATCGGGACAAGATAATTCAGGTTCAAACGGTTCGCCTACGTCACAGCTGTCTGGAGGACAGGTTCCAATTGTTTCAGGTAATATATTTTCCTTAAAATGAAAATCTGTTTTTACCCAATGACAGTATTCATGATATCAATCACAAGCTCAAGTTGAGTCGAACTATGTAACACGTTCTGTTTAACATCATACTAGAAATGAATCTGTTCTGTTCTGATGATCATTTCCACGGTAAAACATGCATCCTGTGCCTTGACAAAGAAAATTGTTGATATTTCAGCGAGGAAGAAATTTCTATAAAGATTTAAATTCCATTCAACCAAATGCGTAGAAAACGTTTATAGTAATTTTGTTTTTGAGATCATAGTATGATTTGCGGACTCTTTTATTTCCAGTACGAGTTAAACAAAAAAAAGTTACAGGGAGTCCTTATATACGAGTTTATTTTTCATCGCTCAATGCGTCAATGTAGTTTTATTATTTATTATATTTATTACATGCATTTTATACAGGTTTTAAGATTGTGTCATTTTTATTCAAAAAATTATTATTATTATTATTATTATTATTATTATAATTATTATTATCTTGCAATCTATATTTTTATTTTAATTATCAAACACTCATGCAGTTAAACATGAACAGTCATATGATAACTTGTTTAACAACATTAAAACAACATTATTTTAGATAAGGTTATTTATAACATTCCTTTTGCACTATTGTTATTCAAGTGATACTATACCTATCCACGAGCAAATGGTGAGTGCACTCGTAAAAAATACTATATTTTGTCATAGTTGTGTGAAATTCTTTATTTTACTTTGCAAACAAAATAACCAATACACGTTACCACACTTTCTGAGTTCAGGGTTTTTAAAAAAGACGTGGGGAGGTGTTTTTTATAATCTAGGTAGCTTCTATCATAGTACTTTAAATTATAAATTATTGATCAATCACCACTATATCGATCAATCTCTTGGAAGATATAGCTATAATATCAACTCAATCTGACTTTTACAACGACATTAATAGCATAATGTCTCTAAATAGATTAGACATTAATCACCAGTTCTGATGTGTTGTTGTTTTTGCTGTTGTTAATTCTGCGATGAATTATTATCATGTGTCTCGTACATCAAATCTGCATTATAATAAGCATTAAAACAAATTTGCTTCATAGATTCAAATTGAACAATTTACAAACAATAAGAGTTGCTATAAGGAAATAAGATTCGTTGTGACTGTTTACCAGGGAAAGCAATAATATTGTTGTTGTAAGAAGGCAATTGCTCTATACAGAGTCAACAACTCTGCAGAAGTCATACGGAATTTATTTATCAGGGTAAAACGTTCAAAAACCAAACACATTTGTAAATATATTAATAAATAATATATATATTAATAAAATATGTATTAAATATCACTTTCCGACTTTATATTTTCAGGCTACAATGAGTGTTTTGAAGAATATGGTAACGTTATTTGTATTTGTACGCCAGAAACTTTAAAACGAATGTTTAACTTTATTAAGTGCTCCACTGATACACTAATATTTTTGTTACAATATTGCGTATGAACTTTAACAGAGTGTAGCCATTGAATATGAATTACAAATTGATGCTAATTTTTATAACCGTGGTGAAGATGTCATTTAAAGGTGAAGAATTGTGAAGTGAAAAAAGAAAATAATTGACACATTGCAAACAATACTTCCAATCCATATTACCAAAAAAAAAGAGGTTGAAATATGCAAAAATCGTACGCACTTACTGCGTAAGTCACGCAGTACAAATGTGCTGATAAATACTATACTGCAAAATCAGTCTTTAATTGCACATAACATGTCAATTATTACTTGAAAGTAAAATCTGTTTACACCTCTTACTACAGATCTATCCAAGTTTGATTTTGTTGAAAATTTTTAACTCATCTTGATGCATGCAGCATTAAGTCATTTTGATAAACATATACTGTACAGGCAAATAAGGTGTTGTTTTTTTTTTTTTTTTTTTTTTTTTTTTTTTATTTTATTTTAACCAATAGTTTTATCTCTAGATATCTTTTACGATAAGTACACGAAAAACAATAGATTCTATGCAAACCCCTAAAATTTGATTGAATTGTTTTTATCGAAATGGCCATAAAACATATCTTAATTATTGATGCAGGTTCTTGTACCAAACACCAATATGAAAATGTTAGACTGGTTGCTCTCAAAAGTTCAGGATGTAAGAACTTCTGTCAGTGTGCGTACGCATCAACCGAGATTGACGGCTCCGTGACGTACAAATGGGTGAAGAAGACATGTCCAGCTAATACCTTGTTTGATGAAAGTCTTTCAACGCCAGTGTGTAACCATGACTACTATGTTCAATGTCAGAGTAAGATATTCGATCTTTCAATATGAATATGTACATTATTTTTGAATCTATATAGATCAATAATGAAATAATTCTGAGGCATTTTCATTATTCATATTTCTTAATCATTTTTTGCAAGTTTGAAAATCTTTATTCTTGTTATATTTGGGTTTTTTTTAATCATCAAACTTTTTTCGATCATCTTTAACCTTAATTGACCTCAACTTTGACTTCTATGTTTATTTTCCTAATAAATATATGCATTGCCAAGACTTTTTTTCTTTGATTTATACTCGTTCATTTATTACCAGACGCAAATTATTATAAGCAATATGACCATTATGATGTACATAGATTGAACTTCTGAGCTAAACGCATGACTACATAGTGACGTGTCCCAGTAAGTAATTGCCTAGCATTACATAAGGTTCTCAGTGCCAAAGCATTTTGATAATATATAGGTAACATATAGGTAAGGTAAGGTTAGGTAAGGTCAGATCAGGTCAGGTCAGGTTAGGTATGATAAGGTCAGGTAAAGTAAAGGTCAGGTAAAGGTATGGTTTGGTAAGGTAAGGCAAGATAAGATTTAACAAGACAAGATAGGATGAGGACGAGGAGGATGAAGATGAGATAAAAAAAAATCCAATTTTCAATAATATATTTTTATATTTCAACAATAATTAAATTGAAATACAAATTTTTTTTCTTATTATAAATATATATATAACTTATATAGTGACATAGTCTAAGGACTATGAGAACTACTTATCAAACCTAAATCATATACATTGCACCTCTTACCTATTTATTAAAGGCGTTGGTGATAAGAAAGACGGTTGCCTCAATGAACTCGGTAATGTATTTATTGTGTTGGGTTCTTCTTTTAAATAGCAAAATGATTTAAAAATTGTAGAAAAAAAATTGTGTAAAAAATGGAATAATCATTGTATACCTTTGTCAAGAGTCATTAAAGCACAATATAATGCAGGTTTTAGTTTTCGGCACTCTGTATATCGCACTGTCTGTCGGGGATACAATAAATGCATGCTTCGATGCTCTTTCTATTACTTATTATGTTTAATTATGATTCCTCTTCTACAATGTTTAATCAATGCGTGAATATTTTACTTAATATAAATAAACTAATATGAATTTATGATTTAAATAGAATTATCATTTGCACTTCGAAAATTCAGGACACAAGTTATAAGTTAATTTCCAACATGTGATTAACGTCATTGTTTCAGGAACTTGCACAAAAAGTGAATATGAAGTGAAGAGATTAGCAGCGCTTCGCAGTTCCGGATGCAAAAAGTTTTGTCAATGTGCGCATGCGTCAACGGAACTGAATGGATCAGTAACATATTATTGGGAAGAACATACTTGTCCGAAGAACACGCTCTTTGACGAAAGTCTTCCGACACCAGTCTGCAACTGGGCATATAATGTTCAATGCTAAAATATAATAGGCTCAATATATGATTCGAACTCGTAATATGGCATGCTGAAACTCGTGATTTCATTTTTACACATGATTAATCGAATGAAAGTTCATTATTGTTTGCTATATTTTGAGAAATGAATTAAACAGAACAAAAACTTTAATTAAAACTTGCACTGAAATGTAGCAAAATCAGATAGCAAAGAAAATGAACATCTATTCATGTTGTTCAGATACTATAGATATCCATAAAGAGCACGAGCTGGTAATTAATGCAAACTAAATATTCAATAAATTGAACTCTACTTTGCTTGTTTTTTTATATCTTAAATTGAGCTATGTTGTTTCTTCAGATATTAAGTTTTTTATTTTGTACTTTGCTTGTTTTTTATATCTTAAATTGAGCTATGTTGTTTCTTCGGATATTAAGTTTTTGATTTTGTACTTTGCTTGTTTTTTATATCTTAAATTGAGCTATGTTGTTTCTTCGGATATTAAGTTTTTGATTTTGTATTTGAGATAGCTAGCTTTACTTATATAAAAAAATCTAATATTGTAATATTATTTTAAAGAAGATACTGATTTCATTTATTTACAAAATAGCTGAAGTGACCAATTATGTTAAGATTATGATGTCTGATCGAGGCCACATTTCATTTACTTTTTGATTATTTACAAATTCAATAACCAAGAGAACACAAACACAGATACGACACACGCACGCACACACGCACCAAGAGAGCAAACTACTTTTTTTAGTTTCATATATTATTAATGAATAAAAACATAATTAATTTAGTTTAATAATATTTTATTGTATATTTTGTACATGATAAATTTACACAATCTACCATCATAAGGGTTGGACCAAAAGTTATACCAACATTATCTAGGGTCCTTCCCTACATAATTAATGATGTTATAACATCACAATATTTGTATTGCTGCTATAACTATCCTAAATGATTAATGCAAATAAAGAATTTAATTTGATTGCTTATAGCACCCTTAAGATATTGATAAGTTTAAATGAATATAAAATGGATGAATATAAAAAATATTCTCTTTAAGTCCAACTTTAAATTTTGGAAAACACTGCATGAAGTAATGCAACCATCCTAAGAAGTATTTTAACTTTTAGTCATTATTATCTTTATTAATACAAATTACATTTATTTTATAGATAAAGTGCTTATACTAAATTAAATGATTTTAAAATGGAGCTTAATATATGTATATATGTGTATGTACGTATGTATATCTGTGATTTTAACTGCTAATAAATTATGTGTTTGTATCTTAAAACGTTTTCGTATTTCTTAGTTTGTTTATATACGAGTATATACCAAAGTGCGTAACATAGGTACTTACGCAATTTTTAATATCAAGCAAACGACCGCACTTTGGGGTAATAAAAATCAAGCCAATACAAATGAATTTTAGAAATACTTTAAAGAACATGTAAAATGTTGTTGTTAATGCCAATGGTTAACTTAAAATAAGGAATGAAGTACTAGGCGAAATATATTAAGTCAGATAACAAAAGCAGATGATCGCTCTGCCTATTTTTCCAAATTTGCAATTAATTATATTTTTATATTCCATTATGTGTGTCATAGAAAGAAGGCCTCTATGTAAGATACATTTATATATAAATGCATGTATGTTTGATGTGAATATATTAGGTAACATTTACAGCTGTATACAGCTTACATCGAAAGCAGCTTACATCGAAAGTAGCTTACTGTAAGCTGTATACGTTAAGAACAATTAAGCCTACGCCAATGACTACGCCCACGACAATGACAATGGCCCCGCCTACATTTTTGTGACCAATCACTTCGACTTTGAATATTTCAATCACTTCTTTTAACGACGACTAGTCCTTTACTACTACGACGATGACCCTGGCCAAAAATATTCTGGACGTATACGATAATCAAAACAGCTACAACTTACAGGGCGACTACAGGTACAACGACTTGCATATCAACGACTTACGATTACGACTTTTGAAACAACGGCCATCTTTTCACATAGGACACTCGTACTGTTAGTTCTATGAAGTGGATTCGAAAGAGATTAAAACAAGTTGCAACAACTCGTTTCACGATCGAGCTAAATAAGAAAGCAGTTGTAAGTGAAAATCTTTGTAGTACGCATACACATGTGAAATATTAAAATAAAGGATTTTTGTATCAATTAATTTTTTTTGTATGGAATAGATTTGCATGATACGAAACAGAAATTCAGTCGTTGTTGAATAGGTAACAGTTTGGCTGTCTGCAAGTTTGTTACATATCTTATTAATATTGCACTGCTAAGCGTATCCATTTTAATAATTTCGGTATTTTAGCGTTTCTAGGCAATAAGCATAATGATAAACATATCAATTACTTTCATATGGACTGCCCGCCAAGGCTACGATACATGAATTGTTACTTTAGGCTGTTTATTAAATGTTTATTTAGAAGTGGACCATAGTTCTGTTGACACTTTTCTTCATCTCTTCAGGAAATGTGGAGCTCCAATGATCATTTTAACCGCCGATTTCGCTTTGATAAGCAACAACTGTATCAGTTACCCAGAGTACACAAGTCCATACACATGGAAAAACATGTATTGCCCTACGGGTTTGAAGTTCAATAACGACGTTCAGAATTGCGACTGGCCGGACAACGTATCATGAAATATATATATACATAACATATAAAACATTGAAATTGTATATAGCCATTCTCGAAAGAATTACATACTAAGAGGGATAACTCCATAGTCCATATTATAGAAATGTATAATATGTACTGTAGATTTACCTCCCTTATTTACATATTCACATTTACAGTTGATTCATATGATGTAAATGTTGAGACAAATCAATTGCAATATGATAACATAATTGCACATTGCCATTATTTAAAAGTTATTCTAGACATTTAATTACAAAATTATAATAGACTTTTAACATTCGAAAAGTTTGATAGCCTCTACTGACATTGTCTTAAAAACTGCTATAAGAAATTATACTGTAAAATATTAAATTTTGTAATAGAAGCACTATCACGCAATATAAAAAATGGTTTTACAAAATCATTTATCACTCATGGTTAGAACATAGATGAACTGGTCAGAAGTGATTATCAAAACCTTGGGTTAAAACAACTTATTTATGTAATTTAAAATATATCATATTTCTACAATAAAAATTCTATGTATTTAAAAATATATTAACTGTTCACTCCAGGCAGGAGGTGAGATACAGACATTACAGACACTCTTGTTTATGAATTTAGACTTTTTTAAAGACATACATTTATTTTAATACAATATTATTTGCAGACAAAAAAACAAACGTATTTGAATTGTTAGTCTTTAAACTGTCAGTATCTGTATATAAACCCCATCTCCCACATAGAATGAGATAATATAACTTTGCTTTACACTATTTACGCTAATAATACTTAAAGTAAAAAAGGATATATGACTAATCCTGAAATGTAGTCTGTTAACCTATTTATATAAATGGTTGTTTCTGGTTTCTAAAATCAAAAAGCAAATTTTAGACCTTACTTTTATCATTATGTTTATTTGAGAGTACAAAGTTTAATTTATCCTGATCACATAAATTGTTAATGAGGCATCAATCTGAATAGCTTTTTTAACAATATTATTTCTGAGATTTGATACAGTGGGCAATGAAATAAAACATGAACTTTATTTTCCACTGCAAGTTCACATAATCTGTCAGGAATATTTATATAACTGATAATATAAACGTTACTATTATCTAATGAAAAGTGACGTTACAAACGTGCAGATTATAATAATAATAATAATAATAATAATAATAATAATAATTTTTAAAATACATACAGTGTATATATATATATATGTGTGTGTGTGTGTGTGTGTGTGTGTGTGTGTGTGTTTGTGCGTGCGTGCGTGTGTGTACTTCTTTACTTTATGATATGTTTAAAAAAAAATTATTTCTTGTTTAATTTTATTAAGTTTGTATGTTAATACTGTTTTTAATAAAGGCAGTATTGCATTTTTAAGATGACCTGGTAAGTGTGATAATCTGTTCGCTGCTGGTCTGAATGCCAAATAAACAATTATTAGCTGACGTTAATTTAGCTCAACTTTCCTAAAAAAGATCCTGGTTCTACAGCATAATAAGTTAACAAACATACATTGGTTTTTATCGTGTAAAATAGTCTTAAATGTACAGTTTTACATATATTGCATTTATGAAAGTACTTTCTTATAGTTCTTAAAGAATAGCCGTGTTCTTATTTCATGTTTTAATATTTGTATGATTAAATATTAGTGTACATGGTTAAGAATCAAATAAATGAATGATACTTACTTCGGGTTATCAACCTATTTAGAGGCGATGCATTTTCGTTGTCACTTTTCAACAGTTAAAGTATTTGAAGACAAGATATAAAGTATATGCATAATTGAAAGCATGTGTGCTTTGACATTTACAAGTTCTATGTTGAACATAAACAAACGTACATGATTTTTTTTAAGATTGTTATATCCCCATGACATGTCAGTTTTTGGTTATGATTTTTATTGTGTATTTGCCATATGTATTTTAATTTTTGTATTGTCAGTGGCAGATCTCTGCCGAATTGCAAATAAAATTTTGACTTTGAAAAAACAAAACAAAAATAAACAGTTTTTAAGTAAAAGAAATTCCCCTTTCCCGCTTTTATTGTACAAAGCAGCATCCGCGAAAGAAAAATTCATAATGCATAAAAAACGGTGAAAAAGGTTGAATAACTTAATTTGCTTAATTTATAGTTAAAACTTGTTAAAGATAGTCACATTTCAATACTTTAAAATTCAATTACCGGCTTTAAAAGATAGTATGAAGTATATATAGTAAGAGGCATATCAAATAAAAACCTCATGGTGAATGATGATATTAATGATAAAAATATTATTTATTTGTGACAATTTATTTTTGATTTTCAAAAATATTGGCTCAAAAAAACCGACTCAAAATAATTTGTTTTGCTGGATCTATTTATAAGTTATAATATTTGAATCGAAAATGAAAGTAAGTCAAACACCCTGTCGATCAGTGAGATTTTAGTGAATTTATACATGTATTTCAAAGAAAATGCCTGAATTTATACATGTATTTAAAAGAAAATGACTCAGTGTCTAGTGTTTTAAGTTCGAGAGACATACTAGTATCACATTTATGGTAATATCAGATTATTTGATTATAATGCAATCGTTTGAGAATCAAGTTGATCAAATAGTTTAATGTGAGAAGTACTGCGATTTAACTAAATTTAGATATTAAACATTTAAACAGTTGAGTAGTTTTATTAACGCTGCTTTTATTTCCCAAAAAGGTAAGTGTAAAATTCCCCTTTATTTTTCGGATTTTATTTTCAAATCAATGTAAGACAACATATAGACTTTTTAAAAAAAATAAGTAATGGATACAACTATTATACTTTCTTACTTCGATAGATTCACGTCTAATTCATGGTAGAATAAACAGCATAAGTGAATGCAAATAACAAAGAGATTATTAATAAGAACAAACAAAACAGAAAGTACGCTAACTTTCTGTTTAGAGTATCCGAAGTTAATTCATGATTATACTTTTACTTTCGTTTCTGAAATACATCTAAAGATATAAAATAAAAATACTTTCATCTTCAATGCTTACTAACCTAGCTGTTCTCATTTATCAAAAACGTTAATGTTGCTTATAAATAAGAACGTTCAAATAAAGCGGGCAAAAGAATTGTAATCGGGGAAAATAATACAAATAATTACAGTGTATCATTACTTTATTAAGTTACTAGAAATATACAATAAAACAGTACATATGAAACATAGTTCTCGTATTCAATCCTTTTGGTCAGAACTGAATGACAGTTCGCGGGTTACCAATCAAATAAAAATAATCTTATAATGGAATATGAAAGACTCTTAGTCCTATTACCTGTCGAACAACCCTCGTATATGGCACATTGTGATGATTCTTTGCGTGTGTTTTTGCGGCATTTGTTTAATTGCGAGAGTTGTCAGTCATTTTGAAATCACGACATTTCTTATTATTTTATGTAATTGATTGTTCATGATGGCACGGACAGGGACGGAAGTGGTATAAAAAGAAGAAACAAAATGTCAAAAACGCTAATAGTTACATTCATATATATACTCCGGTTTCCCAGTAAATGCCTTTTTAGTTCTATTTATAATCATAAAGGAAAACTAAAATTTTACCCCTTTACACTTTTTATATATACATGTACATTTATTTTTTAATTTGCAAAATGAAAAATTCACTTTTTTTCTCGAAAAGTTTGACAAATTCATATGTTTGTTCTTATGTCTTAAGCCATTGTAATTTCAAGAAAGTTAACATGGTCACATATTTCAACACGTTTAAACAAATTAAAGTACTGAGCTAACAATTTTATAAAAACTGGAAACCCAAAAGACAAGTAATAGCAATAATGTAGTTTGGACGACACTTCTTGTTGTAAGTTGTAATTTCATAGTTGTTAATGTGAATACTTTGCTAATAACATTTAACTTTAACATTAAAAAGAATCTTTTTTTCAAATAAATTATTTTATTAGAGAAACCCGATCTACTAATATATTACTTTTTAGGTTAGTTAAAATATCTCATTTTTTGTTTGGGCTAATTAGTGTAATCGTTGGATTAATAGGAACGAAATAAGAAAAGGTTTGTTGTTGTCAGTTTTCTACGAAATTATTTTGATTATAGGTCTAGGTTTATTAGTTTATTTAAGTCTCATTCATTACATGTACATATAATACAAATATACATTCAATAAAACTTAAAATGCATGTAAATGGTCATTCTTATAAAGAATTATAAGAGACTATATGTATATTGTTACAAACATGTTACAATTATCATAAAATACAATCCACATTTAAAAGGTTAGATCAGATTAAACCTTACACAGATAGGTATTTTACATAGTCATATATGAGCAGTCCAGTAAGATAAAATAAAATACATATCTGAGTAGTTGTATTACTTAAATATTAGATAAGAACTTTAATTTGTTACAATACTTTAAAACAGCTAAGATGTTTAATTCTTTACATTTTAAAATATCTTTAAAAAACAGCTAAGATTTTAAATTCTTTAAAAAAGGTGATATCACTAAAAAGGCCTTTTTTGTAGACAATAAAAAAGTCTTAAAACCATATAAAACTATATATATAAAAAGACCTAATCATAATACAAGCATTTTGCACGTTTTTCTAAAATAAGGTAGCAGGATTTTGCAACTTCTCTAACAATACTACCATTGGAAAGTAAAAAATTAAGCTTGCTAACATCATTTAACATAGGAAACCCATTATCAATATACATTGCTTTGTCTAACAAATTTTGTCTGATATCTAAATATTGTGGACATTTTAAAAGAACATGAATTTCATTTTCTACTTCTGTATTACACAATGGACATATTCTATCATTGACTGCTAGTCTTTCATAGCGACCAGTTTCTAGTCTAATTGGAGCGACTCCACACCGAAATTTTGCAAGTGCTGATCTATGCTTATATGGAAGCAGTACTTTGATATAGTTCTCAGTTTCAAAATCAAATTTGAAATTCCTGTATGTTCTCAATTTATTACTTCCAGACCCATGTGAACTATATAACCCATGTAAAGATTCAATCCAATTATCTAGATACTGGTTAAAATAGTTTACTTGCAATTTCTCTAATAGAGTCTTCTTATATAAATGTACATTTTCTACATCAATATATTCACTACAATGATATCTTTTGAACAACTCGTTTACTGTAAAATACCAGTTTTTACAATGCATACCAGATAAATGTTTACAACGATTGTACACCATTTTATTTATTCTTCTGTCTAGCACTTTTGAAAATCTACAACACAAGTTCACTACACATTTTAGTTGTCTAGAAAAAGTTGGCTCCCAGCCCATGTCACCTGCAACAGCAAGGTTAGGTGTGTATTTACCAGTTCCCATGAAAAAACGCATGGCCCTGTTTTGTATTGCATCTATACAACTGAACTGTCTAGTGCCCCAAATGCCTGCACCATATGCAATGACTGGCCAAACAAGGCTGTCGAATAATTTTGTGAAATGGCATACCACCTATTGCCTTGAATTTTGCAATAAGTAATCCTAAGGCCCTTCCTGCTGCTTGTGACACAAACTTAGCAGTCACTTTATAATCTAAAAAATCATTAAGAGTCAGACCAAGATAGGTATACTTTTGAGTGTATTGAAGTACCTCATCATTGCATTTAAAAACAAACTGAGATTTTTGCATAGACATTGTTCTAAAGTGTACAACATTACTTTTGGTCATATTGATTAACATGTGGTTATTTTGACACCATTCACCTAGGCAATCTAACATCAATTGTAAATTTTGTTCATTCTTTGCAAGTATAACTATATCATCTGCATATAACAATATTGATAAACAACTACCATTTTCGACTTCGATACCAAGCCCTAATGCATTCAATTGTATGGCTAAATCATTTATGAAACAGTTGAAAAGTACAGGAGAAAGAATGCACCCTTGACGTAAACCAAACTTTATATCAAACCAATCAGACATGTATCCATTTAACCTAATACAAGACTGAACATGTGTGTAAAGTGCCATAACCGCTTTCAACATTTTATTATTTACCCCCATTCGAGCAATACGGTTCCACAAAGTGGATCTATCGATTCTATCATATGCTTTTTGAAAATCTATAAATGCAGCAAATGTAGGTAGTCGTTTTTTCAGTCTAGATTCAATAATTGATGTCAAACTCGCCAAATGATCAATGGTACTTCTCCCCTTTCTGAAACCGTTTTGTTCATCTGCAAGCTTATCATTGTTTTCCAACCATTTTGAAAGCCTGTCATTTAAAACAGAGCAATATAACTTGTACATTGTTGCCGCTAAAGTTATCCCTCTATATGAAAGAGGGTCTCTAGGATCTAACATATTAGATTTTGGTATTGGGTTAATAATTCCCTTACCCCAGTCTCTTGGTATCTTACCAGTTTCATAACAAACATTAAAAACTCTATGCAGAATGCGAGTACAGGTATTATATCTAAATATTTCATAGGGTATGCTATCTAAACCACTAGCTTTATCATTTTTGGCTTTCTTAATAGCTTTTTCTACCTCAAAAATCGAAATATTTTCACTAAATTCTAGAACATGTGTTTCACTATGAAAAATATTATCATCTCTATTAACGCAGTTATACTTACAGTTTAAACCCTGGTTATCATTGTATAAATTTTTAAAGCTTTTTTCCCATCTTTTCAAGACATTATCTGGGTTCGAAACAATAGAACCATCCTCATCAACAATTTCCATAGGAATAGACTTATTCTTACTTGAATTGATACCTATTTTCCCAATATCTTTCCAAAATTTATTTTGATCAAGTTCAACATTAGATAACAAAATCTTCCTGTACCGTATACCAGTATTTCCTTTTACATCGCTGTACAGCTTTACTAAAAAAAATTCTACATTTATTTATATCTAAAGTATTTATTAAGTCATGTTATAGACCATTTCTGGCGTAAGATTGGGGGTTAAACGTGACACGTACAATTCAATGGACCAACTCAACGACTACCTAACTACGGACTTTAAATTCATTCATGTATTCCATATCTTTCAGCGGAACTAATTCTGGCTTCCATAACTTTGTATGTCGCTTTTATTTTGACGGTGTGTGACAGTAAAGTTATGTGTCAACGCTACCAGAATGTTGGCAGTTCGTGTGCAGTTAGAGACTATTTGTTAGAGAAATATGTAGAGATTGTCTACCAATATGGAGTCTGTTTTCAACTGAAATCTCGCGGGACTTCAAATGTTGTGAATTCTAGCACCTATTTTTAGTTACGGACCATACACAATTTTAAGTACTGTACTATTTTTAATAAATACAAGAAAAAATAATTCATTAATCATCTCTCACAACAATATGAATCCAACATGTTTTTTGGTACAATGCATGTTACTGAATAAATACACCGTAATGTATAATTGCAAAGCCATGTTTTCAATTAAAAGTAGCATTTGGGTCACCGAATGTCATACAAAGGTATCCGAACGTCACATAATGATTATGGCAGCAATGGCGGCGAATTTTATGAAATTTAAACGCACTGATAAACTATGACGCATTATTTCGTCAATCTACGCTTCTTTGTTCAAAAAATTACACCGAAGTGTGAAAAATATATCTAATTACCTGTATTATGATAGCTTTTGTCCAAATAACGCAAATTTATTGATTACAGCCTGACATAAATATGTCACAGTACTATTTTTCAAGAGATGCATTTTCGTTTAGTATTTGAAGACGAGTAATACATACTCGTATAATAATCTAAAACATGTTTCCTCCGAGATTTACAAGATAAACAAAGGAACATGATATATTTTTATTTTAAAATGTTGTTATATATTCCTTCAAATGTCAGTTATGTTCTTGTATTATATGTATTATTGTGTATTTGCCATATGTATTTTTATGAATGTATTGCAAATAAAATTTTCACTTTGAAAAAAAAAAAACCATTGTTATTACGTAAAAGAAATTTTCGTTTTCCCGCCTTTATTGTACAAAGCATCAGCCGCTAAATGCATAAAAACGGTGTAAACGGTTGTATAACTTAATTAGCTTAATGAATACTTAAAACTTGTTAAGGAAAGTCACATTTCAAAACTTTAAAATTAATTTAATGACCGGCTTTAATAGATGGATATTACTTAATTTGTAACAGTAAAAGTTGGGAATTTTAAAAATATTGGCTAAAAAAACCTATACAAATCCCGGACTCAAAATAATTTGTTGTGCTTGATCTATTTATAAGTTATAATATTTGAATCGAAAATGAAAATAAGTTTAAGTTAGTGAATGCAAATAACAAAGAGATTATTAATAAAAACAAACAAAAACGAAAGTACGCTAACTTTCTGTTTAGAGTATCCGAAGTTAATTCATGATTATACTTTTACTTTCCTTTTTGAAATACATCTAAAGATATAAAAAATACTTTCATCTCAATGCTTACTCATCTAGCTGTTCTTATTTATCAAAAACGTTAATGTTGCTTATTAATAAGAATGTTCAAATAAAGCGATAAGATCGGTGTCGAAACAACTATAATTGTATGTAGATAATAATAATAGAGAGTAAACAATGTTCTCATTTTCGGAAACATAGACTTTTTTCTAAAACATTTTATACTAATATTTGAATAATTTTACTCTTTTTCATTTTTACTCGGGGTCGTCAAATTAAAAAGAAAGGCTTGCTAAAATACGAGGGTTGTTCAAAAAGTAATAGAACAATTATGTACGCGACCCGTCTTACGATAACAATACAATAAATGACGTTCAAAGCTTTGCAAAATAAAAACAAAGTTTAACAAGCGTTATTCTTTGATAAAGTATACGCCCTAGTGTTCTGGGTGTCTGAATAACGTAACTATAAACAGGCCATATTTGCAGATGTGAAACGGGAAAGAAAGCGATCATAATTTCGTTCCCCTCTCCGATAGAATTGCTCGGTGGCTAGCCACTCTCCGCTTTTTCTCGTGATTTTAGAGTAATTAAAGAACTCAGCGGTCATGGACATAGTTATAATTTTAATGTAAAAGCGATGTATAGTAGTGATTTTACACATGTCATCATCGTTCTTAAAACAAATGATTATGTACATCACAGTAAAATAAAGAAATCAACTGAAAAATTTTCTCTTTTTCTGAGCTATCATTTATTAAACAAAATCAGGGAAAATAATTACAGTGTACCATTACTATATTAAGTAACTAATAACACGTATATCTAGAAATATACAATAAAACAGTGTATGAAACACATGCCTTATATTTTATCCTTTGGTCAGAACTGAATTAGTAGACCCGATGCAGACAACAAATATGACGGGCAGTTCGCGGATCGCTAATCAAATGAAAATAATATAAATTAAATTGAATATGAAGACGCAAGACTCTTAGTCCTATTACTTGTTGAATAATCCTCGTTTATGGCACATTTTGTTGATTTTAAAATATGTTTGAAGTTAAATTAAAGTTGCCAGTCATTTTGAAATCACAACATTTCTTATTTTATGTAACTGATTGTGATATGCAAGGACGGTAGTGATATGAAGGGAAGAAACAAAATAAATATCATATACGCTAATTATAGTTACTTTTTTATAATGACTTATTAGATTTTACACTTTGGTTTCCCAGTTTATGTTTGGACAAATTTTATTTATAACATTAAAAGAAAAAAGGGGAATATTTATATATACATGTACATTCATCATTTTCTATTTGCAAAATAACAAATTCACTTTTTTTTCTTGAAAAGTTTGACAAATATATATGTTTGTTCTTATGTCTTAAACAATTGTAATTTCAAGAAAGTTTCAATTTACAGAAAAATATATATTAATACTAAAAGCATAAAACAGGGTCACATATTTCAACACGTGTATACTCAGTTCTAAAACGAAAGTACTGAGCTACACAATTTTATTACATAAAAATTGGAAACCCATAAGCCAATTGCAGGTTGCTGAAATTTATAAAAAGCACACTGAATTTTAGTTGTGTAGTTTTCACGACAGTATTTCCTGTCGTAAAAACTTCTTTAATGGTGTTGTAGTTACAGAGTTGTTAAGGTAAATACTTTACATATAACATAAAACTTTAAACATTAAAAATCTATTATAAGATAAATTAATTTAATATAGGTTCCGATTTACTTATATATTTATTTGTTGGGATAGTTTGTTTACCTCATATGTAATTATTTTTGTTTTGCTTAATAAATGCAATCAGTGGATTGATATGTACGAAATAAGAAAATCCTGGTTGTCATCTAAAGTATTTATTAAGTCATGTTATAGACCATTTCTGGCGTTAGACTGGAGGTTAAGCGTGAACGCACGATTCAATGAACCACCCCAACGACTACCTAAGTACGAACTTAAAGTTTATATTCCATTTCTATTAATTGGACCCATTTCATTTGGATTTTGAATTCATTGCAGAGTATATTGAATGCGGAATAGTTACATTTCACTTTCTGTTTATAAATACATGTTTGCATAACGGGGTGCATTGTCAAAAAAACCCAGGAAAATTATGATTCCGGCAAAAAAAAAAAATTAAAATTAAAAAAATTATGCTTCCAGTTTAATATGTGGGATGTTGAAAACCCGTCACAATCCAAAGCAATCAGTGAAACAGAAATAATTAGAGGTGATAGGGACATGTCATATATTGTACCTTTCATATTTTGTCATGAACAGAGTCTGAAATGTCCTTATTTTTACTATAGATGGATTCCCATTCCTCAGATTTTCATACTCTCAACAGCAGGTTTTAAGTCCAGATTTTTACCTTCTTTTCTAACAAGACGAAAAATGTGTATCGCGTTCACCGTTATTAGATATTATTTTCTTTTATTTAAAATTCATAAAAATATTGAAAATAAATCAAAGAGAATCATTTTACTTAAATTGATTTAAATCTAAGATACATGTATCTATTTATATAGTGTGATAAAAGGACACTTAATTAAATAGGATCCCATTTTTTTACAAATTGAAGAATGGAACAAATAACGCTGGAATACATGTACATAAAATTAAACGGAAACTTCTATAAGAAAAGAACAACAATAAACGATTTAAACGAGAACTTAAATTTTTATACATATAAAACACGGGGGGCCTAATTGTTAAACCATGACATAGCTCTAGGGAACCCAATATTTATACGTGGAAAATCTAAACAGAAATCAGGTCAAACATAATTGTAACGAATATTGATTTAATCGGAATACTTCGAAAACTGACATTGGTACTATTTAAAAAATGGAGAAAAACAAAACCACAACAACCGAAAGTAACTTAACGTTTAAGCTAAAACTTCTGTGTAACGATCAGCCGATTCATTTTATCATTGTAATACTTTAGTTATATTACATTTTAGCAAGGTTTTACTTGCAGTACATAATCGTCTTTTAAATATAAACGAGTAGCTTTAATTTTATTGTGATTTATACACTTCGTGACTTACAAAAATGATACGTGTGAATAAACACGACAAAATATCCATACCAAAAGTATTATTATTATTATTGTTATTATCATTATCATTATTATTTCAATTATTATTATTATTATTATTATGTATCAGGTTTGAAATCATACGTTCATCTTTATGCTATCTATATGTAATTATTTTTGCGTAGTGACTTTATCATTATTTTTAAAGTTATAAACACATACACTTGCCCGTTAATCAGGTCAGCAAATCAGACTGGAAACGAAACTTGGCTTGAAGAAAATAACAAACACACCCATGCAGTTTCCCAATTATATACTGCCTTTTCTATTGTGAAAAAAATTGCAAAAAAACAGAAGTAATCATATCATTCAGATAAATAAATATAAAAAAGTAATGAAAGCATACATTACTTTCGTTTTCAGAAAATGGATAATGAAATGGTATATTTTATACGAATCCTTTTGCTGATATTTAAAGGAGGGAAGATGGTGTGTAAAGGAATACTTGACAAGGAGCTAAAGGATGCAGGCGTGTCACTAGACCAGATTCTTAAAGAACAGGAGGAGAAACTAAAAAATAAGATCTTAAGAATTCAACACTCATTGTTATTTCCACGAAATGATCGAGTAAATCCAGGAGATTTTGATCTTTCTCTGCTGATTGTTGTTTTACTTGACGTGATGAATATGCCTGAAGAAATAAGAAAACTCATCAAAACTATCAAAGAAAACCGAGACGAGATTATTCATGGTGGTAAGGTGGCGTTGACCCAAGCTACTTACGAAAGTATGAAAGCTTCTCTTACGGATTCGTTGCCAAAGTTAGGAGAGAGTCTATCGGATGATATTCAAGTGGAGCTTTCACAAATGATCCAGGAATTTTTGACAGAGCCATTTGGCGGGCGAGCAGCGCTTAGATATGTCGATGGCATGAAAAACGAAGAGGAAATTCTTCAATGGGTTCACTCAAAAGTTGAAGAATTAGTCGGAGAAATAACAACACAGGAATGTCAGATGATAGAGAATATGAAGCGTAAATGTGTTATACCTTACATATACTCCTTATTTAATTAAGACACAATCTAAAATAAATATAGATAAAACTATAAGAAATAATACTATCTTACTATCTTATTTGAAAGTCAAATGACATAATCGCTTCTATCTATAACAATATAAATATATAATAACGTTACCTAATCTTATCTTCCAAAACAAAGCGACCAATTTGCGTTAATCCTACACAGATCTGAAAGTATTTGAATGATTTATCGTATGCTTATAATGTAATTGTTTTTGTTTTTTTCAGAAGACCAAGAAATTGTCTTAGATAAACTGATACAAACTATGGAAGGTAGGATCCTTAATTCATACGTTATGTTATTTTGAATTGTAGCTGACCTAAAAAACCAACTAACTTTAAGCATGGGATGAACCAAATATGTTTATTATCCCTCATGAACAGACTCAATCGAATCGAGTCTGCATTTTTCATGTAATTTTGTTGTGATTAATGCTTCCGAGGGATCACTTTGTTTCCAGATTTTTATATCTGAAATATATGTATGTACTTATTATGTCTACTTTTTTCATAAAAATATTTTTCATTTATACAGAATTTAATGAAGATAAGAAGACTTTTAATGGTCCAAAAAAGCGCGAAACTTCGACCGACATAAACTGTATGCGATGCTTTGAAAGTTATTTACTAAACTCAGCTGTTTTTTACTGTGCCACTTGCAAAATATATTTATGTGATGACTGCCACACAGAGACACATACAAAATCTCTGAAAATCTCTATGAAAAATCATCACATTCAAAATGCTGAGGCTGCAGCTGAAACCGTTGATATGAAAGGTATGGATATTTGTGATACACATAATGAAATAATTACGTACTACTGCAAAAATCATAAGGAGTTATGTTGTGACAAATGTAAGAATAACAAACATGACAATTGCCATCAACTTGATGAAATAGAGAAATTCGCTCAGCATTCTTTTAATGAGGAGCTCAATCCCGTGGCTGAAATAGAAAAACTTCAAAGACAAATAGGGCAATGGAACAATGGATGACAGCATTGAAGACAAAAATGGACAAACAGTTATTAAAACTTCCATCAAAATTGCAAGATAAGAGAACACAAATGCTTGAAGCTTTTGATAAGAAGGCAACATTACTAGAAACGAATGCAGAAAGAATCCATGAAGAAAAAATGGGAACAATTTCAAGAAATCGATCTCAATTTAAAGAGCTTAATCGAAAGAGTGATCAAGCTAAAACGTCACTTAAACTAATAGAGGCTTTAGGCAGTGCAGCGGAAAGATTTATTGCTCGACATTACCTTAACAGTCAGTTTAAAACTTTTGTGGTATTTTTTGATAATATCAAAGAAATGTATGAAAGTGGAAATGAATTAGATGATTTTGAAAGTATTGATAGTCTCCATGACGATCTTGAATCACTATCCTTAAATGAAGCAAATTGTAAAGATACTTGAATAAAAATACACATGTATCATCAAACCACATGTTTTATATAGATACTACCTTCCACATTTTAATAAAGCTTTAGCACACATGGTTTAACTATCCACATTTAGACATGCTACATCATATGAGGTGTATAATTCTCAATTAATTAGATGTGCATTCGTGTTGATGATTTTAATGAACGCAATCTATTTATAACTAACAAACTTCTTAAACAAAGTTATCGCTGTCATAAATTGCGTAAATATTTTACAAAGTTTTACCATCGAAATTCAGACTTAGTTTTAAAATTTAATTGTAATTTAAAAACTCTTTTACGACTAGGTATAAGCAAGTCTAACTTCTATGGAGATGTGGTTTACAAACTTCGTAGGATCATGGGTCATAGTATTTTTCTGCCGTCTTCACTAAAATTATCAAACGGTTTATTAAAAGAGGTTATGACCCAATTTTTTTAAGGCATACCGCATGCTTGGCGTTCAACCCTTTGTCTGTTGGACGCTACGCTTTCCTCTGACGGACTAAGTGGGAGACTCTATGATGGACAATTCTTAAAGCCCTTTGGGAGTGAATTGTCTTAATATTCGTCTTCTGTTTTGCTTCGTCGGGCCCGTGTAGGTGATTTTCTTGTTGCTCTGTCCTCCTTTAAGGCATCGAGTACTTTGGTAATGGTCATTAGGCTGTACCTTTTTCTACATATTTACATAATTTTGTATGTGTTTTATTTATTTCGTCTAATGTAACCATGACCATTGGTAGAATTTCACTCGGCGGGGATTAATTTTATTTACACTTTCATGTTATTCAGGAACATATTGGGGCTAAGAGTGAGGTTTGGCGCGTCTAAAACCGGTTTTAACTCCAAAGTGGATTAACTGCCACTGACCGTTCCAAGGCAGTACTCCTCTGTGTTCCTTCACGTGTTTTTCATGTCTGTATTGTTACTTGTTTTAGATGTTTACATGTTTTGTTATGTCTGTCTTGTTAGATTGTCGTCGACAGTAGGTATATTTTCAATCCCCCCTCACCCATTTTTACCCCCCCCCCCCCTTTTCACCATTACAGTCCTTATCCCTTTAATTCCCTTATGGTCCCGTTTTAGTTGATATTATTTCACATTACATGTCCCACTCCTTTCACCCTTATGTCCGCTCGAGGTTTTTTGAGTGAATCGGAGGTTGCGTCCTGTGAACGTTGCCTTTGCCTTGTAGATCTTTATTCTTGTTTTTTGACTTGTATTAAGTTCAATTATCTATAAACTCCCTGTTAAATATGCCCTAGAATCCTTCACGATAAATTATGCTTTGTTAAGTCATTCAATCATTAATCATATTTCTACCTACATTAAACTTCCCGAATTATTTTATCTGTCCGGGAAATTTTCAAATTTCATTTTGAAAACATAACTATTTGTTCGTCGTAGGTAAATTTCAAGTAGTAATTTCTGATGTTCAATCAATCTGATTAAAGAAAAAATTACTATCTTTACAGTTTTTGCATTAGTTCTGTGTTAGAGAAGAGGCGGTCCATTCTTGCACAAACATGGCCTCAATTCCCTGGCTGTTTCTATGTTTCACCTGATGAGCTGATATCCGTACCTGGATTTAGATTGGAGGCTCAATCTGGCCATTCAGTTCCCTCATTCTGTCCCCTAAAGGGACTCGTTTAAATGAATTGATCGCACACTGACCGGCATACAGCCTAATCTTAATGTCTTACATGTCATCGATGTAGCGCCGGCCAGTCAATGTACCTCTATTTACCACAAAAAGGTCAGTCCGTCCGTTTTAGCTTATGCCGTCACACCATAACTTATAAATTCTATAAGCACAAATAGTGAAAAACGCGCAAAACAACACATTCTTTATATTTACGTTCTGCATAAGCCGGTGCTAGTGGGTGTGAACGGTAATTTGCATTTACCACTGCCATCCATTAACAGACTGAAATTAAATTTACTCTGCGACATTTTCATTTCATTTCTTTCGTGTTGGGCGACCTATAATGTTTCCAATTGGACTTTTTCTGTAGTTCATGAGTTGACAACATTCCCTGAGCGGCGCTTCACTAATTACTTTTGATTACTCGTGGTATCCGACTGATACCTTCATTGTCCTACAAAAACAAACTCTTATATGAATTGACTGTTACCTACTTGATGAATTTTGACTATTGTCTATACGGAATATATCGCTAATATACTGTGAGAGCGGAGTTGCCTTGATAACAACGATCGATAATGCCATTAAAGTAAAAAAAAGCTGGGTCAGATACAAATAAAAATATCTTTCTACTTAACAAAATATGATAAACAAGATCAACAAGCAAAGGCGGCGTTCAATGAATTGTATTTTAGAAAGACAGACAAAGAAATATCAATCAGAAACAGATTGTCAACATACTATCATTTCATAGATAAGAATCGATAAAATATTACAAAGATATACGCGAATATGAATAAAAATTATGTGTAATTATTTTCTAATAATGCCGTGTTTTAAATAATTTGAAGAAAAACTATGACGTTCATGCTTTGAATGTAAAATAATCAGGATATATCTTTGAAATTCAAAGAAGATCATATCAGTAGATCTTAACTATAGCGATATTAACAAAGCATTATAATTGTATAAAATGGTTCAACCCGTCCGAGTAATCATATGCTTCTTGAATCTTCTTTAAATATGGTTATTTGTTCTTTCAAATGGAGGACATACGCCGATTTTCATGGTAGTCACAAAGTGTCTCATTGAAGGCCGTAAAACACACTACTGTAACATACTTTCATTATAAAGCAACGAAGCATATTGACTGTTGTTGTTTTTTTTCATGTGCGAGTGCATTGTGATACTATGCACAAGGTCTCTGACATTTCTGAAGAGATTCCATTCATTGCTCTCGAGCGATCTCCCTTTTCCAGATTCTTTTTACTCGGAACAGCAATTGTTTAGTTCTTTGCGACAGCTGTAAGAAGTGGCCCAGTACTTCATCAGACTTTTCTTATTTATTTATTTATTGGTTTCAATGTATAATGCGATAACATACATGTACATTTAACAGAAACATATATAATACAATGATATATAAAGATCTGGAAACAAAGTGATCCCTCGGAAGCGTTAATCACAACAAAATTTCATGAAAATTGCAGTTTCGTTTGATTTAGTCTGTGCATGAGGGATAATGAATAAGTGCAACATCCCTCGCGTCCCCTAGCACCGGCTTGAGCGGTACTCAACACTTAAAAGTGTTTGCATCAATGATCCTGAAGGACCAGAAAATATAATAACACTGAAGTGAAGAACGGGGCAAATTTTCACAGCTGCCACACGGCACTTGACGCCTTCTGTTGTGAAGTAAACAAAGTGATCCCTCATACCCCCTAGCACAGGCTTGAGCGGTACTCAATTCTCAAAATAGAGAAAACATGGATTCCTAAAGAAAGCCTAAACGGCAAAATCTAAAATGTTGAAGACTCGGTTTGTTTGAGCCTGTTCATGGACGGTACTGTCAAGTGCAAACTACCGTTCACGCCCTCTAGCACCGGCTAGATGTTTCTTACTTCAAAGTTTAACCATTTTTCTTGTTTAAATGTTAGATACTGCTTAAGCCGGTGCTAGGGGTGATTTTGTTGTGATTAATGATTCCGAGGGATCACTTTGTTTCCAGATTTTTTCGAATATCACTATTTCCCATATCACTTATTTGTTTGTCATGTTAGCATTGTTCATGCCGTGTGCCTGTCGTAAAATGTCTCCCCTTTATTCTTTGTAATTGTTCGGCACGACAATCTATTTTGTGTTTGTGGTATTTTAATTCTGAAAATTTGATGATTTCTCGTATTGTGGTTCCAGTTTTCCTAACTATGTATTGTAAAATTACCCTAAGGTTCATACATTGGAGGTTCAATGATTCGGTAACAGTCGGCATAATAATACTTAACTTTAGCTCGGGGTAAATTTTTCCATTACATTTTATTTTACTTAAAACAAGAAATAGCATGATTTATTGCGGTAACAATTTCTATTCGAATATTTGCACAGGGCGATAAGATATTTGAAGATAAATTGTAATTTATAGCCTTTTTTATAAAAGCAATTTAAATTATGAGTTTTGGGCGTATCCGATAAAAGAAATACTAGGCTCAGTAATTACTTTCACCAAGATCCGCTGACTCGTCTTACACCATTGCTATTCTTAATACGCGATTTCTTGCTTTGAAAGATTTCCTGAATAATATAAAGACGTTTGTGCTCCATTTGTTTAAAACTGATCTTGACATCGATGTCAACCATTCTGATTCTGAAAATTGCACAATACTTTCCTTTTTGACAAATGTATTTTTAACTGAGTTGTCGAGAAAATCTTTAAAGGTAGAAATATAAACTAAAACTTCACTAAAACAGTGTCCCGCTTTTGTTTGGTGTCCGCCTGGGCTCCTTGCCACTGGTTCTTGTTGCTGGGTCGTGTTGGGGTTGCGTTTTTCCTTGTTGATCTTGTTTATGATATATAACTCTACAATGTGTCCACGTGTCTTCACGCGTTCTCAATTTATCATTTATATTTTAGATGTTCTCAATATTTAAGCCATCTTGAAACTATAAACGTTATTTATAGATGTTTGCTTAAGCTCTCTACGGCCACTGATAAACTTGTCATATCGATTGAGATTTTATTACTAAAGTACATGTGTATCAATCTGTTATCTATTGTCGATCAATGATTTAAGGAAATTTTTGATTTCACGCGAACTTTTTCACTGGGAACGGCGGATAAATGGTAAGATCTTATTGTTTATACATACTTTTCAGTGGAAAAAGTTAATACGTGTAAGAATATACAGTATTTATCATTAGAAAAACGAAGAAAAACTGAAATAATTCTTCCTTTACTTACATGCATTATTTTGTACATTGGATTTAAGTATCAAAATGTTTTTCTAATCTAAACTGATTTTCATTTGATAAAGTATCCATTTTAATTTCGTTTGTGTCGTGGAAATTATTTCATTAAATAGTTTAACAAAAAACTGCAAAAATGCTTTGACTATGCATACACTGATGTACACTAGTCATCAGCCTTAACTCAGT